ATTTGTAGTCATGCAAGGACGTCAAGATGAGAACTGTGTTTTGGCAAAAGATGCAAGAGCACGACGGAAAGATATACGTCAACGCCAAATAGAACATAAAGGTGTTTTTATGCATAAGATATTATAGATATTATAGGATTTTAAAGACCTATAGTGTTTAATTTATGTTAACTAAAAATTTTAAAACATCAACTTACAATTATTTTGAATTTTAATTGCAGGTGAAGTGGCATCATCGTCACACATAACAATGTCACAATCTACACCAACGACAAAACGAAACCCCTTATTGGATTTGACAAATGGTATTAATAAAGGTTTATGATTAAATGAAAACATTTTTCAGTTTTGATACAAAAGAAATACGGCTAGAATGTAAAATATCATGTAGTTATCAAGTCATATCTTATAAATTTGAAATTCAGTGTTAGCATCACATCAAGTACATTCATCGGTTCGAAGTTGTTCAAGTACCAAAAACTTCAATGATGTAACATCGTCGGCGCAACTTCAAGCCCATAAGAGACACAAAAACATTGATCTGTCCTCTATTTCACGTGCCATTAATTTCAACGAAGGTAATATCTATAATGGTCAATCTATCCTTATTACTATATTGAGATAAATTCTCCAATAATTTTATTAGTCTATGTTAATTCATGATACTATATTTTATCATTTCATTATAGATATTATGGGCAATATTCATCTTCTAAAATAGATGTAGTAGATTAATCAATTTGGTTTCCCATCGCTTGAGAAGCAAAATAAAAAGGCATCTGCAAATAAAATGTATAAGAAAACAATTACCATGAGTATAATACTAAAAAAATGTCTTTTGTTTTTATGCGTTATCTTGAAGTAACCCGTTATATCCGATTGTTTAAATTTTTAAATATTTGTCATGATTTTAGATAATTTCTAAATTTAATACCTCGACATATTGAAATGAATTTGATTGTGTACAAATTTGGATAGCAGTCACGCAAGGCCAAAGAAAAGATAAATGGGTTTTGGCAAAAGAAGCGAGATCACGTCGAAAAGATATACTTCAACAAAGAAGAATGCAAAAAGGTTTATTTACCATACCTTTTTTTAATCTTTAATGGATCTTTTAAACATATATATCACACAATATTATGTGTATAATTATTCTTTTTTGGGTTTTAGCTTATGTAATTTCTATTGCAGGAGTTGAGAGATTGTCTTCAATGTCAGAATCTAGAGCAGCATCACAAATTAATCCGTTGGGGGATGTGACAAATGGTATCTATATATTTTTTTCGCATCATATATATGACTATGCAAGGCATATATTGAATCATATAAATAACATGATTAATATAACACTTTGTTATAATATCTTATTGTTTAATTTTTTAAAACACAGTGTTAGCAACGCACAAAGTGCAATCCTCAATTAGTATTTTAAGGACAACAGTGAGCAATGAAGCAACAACTTCGACAGGATTACAAATGCATAAAAGACAGAGAATTTGTGATCTGTCTTCTATATCGCGTTTCATTGATTTCACTGAAGGTAAAAATAATACAATCGTCTTTATCATTGTGTTAAAATATATTGATCATTGCTATAAATATATTTCAGTGATCTATATGCATGCAATACTAATGCAGTATTTTTTTTGGATTTAGATGTTGGTGAACAATATACTTTTAATCAAACCAATGCTGGAGAATCGCTAAAATCTAATACTGCAACTACATATTCGGAAGTTACAAGTGTGTACAAACAAAATGTATCGTAATTAAATTACGCGTGCTTATAACATATTTTAATTTTATCCATGTTAATTTTCTTTTTTATCTTTATAATGGCAACTGTGAGACATTTTTAAACTGATTGCAGGCACGCAGCGTGAAATAAACAAGAAATAGGAATTGGCAAAAGATGCGATAGCACAAAGAAAAGATATATGCTACCGTAGAAGACAAAATCACGGTTATTTTACGCCTGGAAATTTATATCTATCAATATTTAAAATATGTATATCAATTTAAAGTTACAAAGAAAATATTTCATTGAGAATTGTTTGTTTATGTACAGATAGTGAAGGATCATCATCGTGCGTAACAATTTCACCATCTAGATCAAGAAAAAAAATAAATCCAATACTAGATACGACAAACGGTATCTACATTTAACCATTTAGTTTATGACATCTGTATTGTCTATTAATTAAAATTATTTTACATATTTTAAATATTTTAAAACTTATACAACGCAGTGTTAACATCACGCCGAATACGATCAATGCTTCAAAATAGTTCAACGACACTTGAGTACAATTCTGCAACAACTTCAATAAACCTTGAGTCGCGTGTTAGACAAAGAAACAATGATTTGCATAATATTACACGTTGTAGAAATCTCAGTGAAGGTAATACTAGAACATGTGTCCATATATTTGCATTTTTAAGTAGCAATATTTATTCAAATATGTTATTTTTCTTCAAATATGATATATATGTTATATATTCCAATGACCTATTTCTTTATAAAATTAGTAGAGAATTCTTCAAGCGAGCAGACAAATTCGGAAGAGTTGAATATTGATAATCCTACATTTGCAATAGCAGAAGTGAAAGGTACTTATAGATTTAATTTAAATTACTTGCTTTAGGTGAATTTACATATACGAAAATACTTTGTTGTATCCTCTAATAAAGCATTCTAATTGTATAGAAACAATTGATTTTGGTGATCCATCGTTCAAGTGTGCATTTTGTGGAGCTTTGTTATGGTATGATGAAAGGGCCGAAAAATCTAGAATCTCTACACACCCAGAGTTCTCTATTTGTTGTATGAAAGGAAAAGTACAACTCCCTCTTCTACAAAGACCACCAGATTTGCTCTTGAATTTGTTTAACGGCATTGATCCAAGAAGTTCTCATTTTCTGACAAATATAAGAAAATACAATTGTATGTTTTCATTCACGTCATTTGATGGAAAAATACAAAAGACTCTAAACAATGGCCGAGCAGCTCCACAATTTACGATTAAGGGGAGAAATGATCACAACATTGGATCTTTATTGCCACAAGAGGGTGTAGTTCCAAAATTCACTCAATTATACATATATGATACCCAGAATGAAGTGTCAAACAGGATGAGTCATTACAGGTACTTACTATATCCACTATAATTGGTTAATTCTTTAAACATATGATTTATTGACCAACACAATAACATAGTCTTTGCATTTTTTAATACAGTAAAACAAATAAAGGATCGACTACAGATAGAAGTTTGGTCGAAGATTTGAAAAATATGATAGATCAATATAATGTTCTAGCACAGACTTTCAGAATGGCCAGAGACTTCATCGAGCGTGAACCTACTGCTAATGTCTCCCTGAGATTAATACGAACAAGATGTCGGGATTCAAGAAATTATAATATTCCCACGGCGGATGAAGTTGCTGCGTTGATAGTGGGTGATTTCAATTCATCGAATGCCGAACGTGACGTCATTGTGAGGAAACGATGTGGATATTTACAGAGGATTCACGAGACACACCTTGCATTCATACCTTTGCAATACCCATTGTTGTTTCCCTGGGGAGAGGATGGATATGAAGAAGATATTCCCATAAGGGAATCCTATTTGATTGAAAAAGATGTAAAGCGTCCAAGGGTATCCATAAGAGAATTTATAGCATTTCGCATTCATGAAAGGGAAAATGATGGTGGTATCGTCTTACGCGCACAGAGGTTGTTCTTACAATTCTTGGTTGACGCATATACGATGGTAGAAGCACAACGAATTCAATGGGCTATTACAAATCAAGAGACACTAAGAGGAGATGTTCTGAGTGGCCTGGAGGAAGCTGTTACGAGAGGTGATACAGATCCGGCAACATCTGGACAACGTATTGTCTTGCCAACTTCTTTTACTGGTGGAATGAGATATATGTTTAACAATTGTCAAGATGCAATGGCGATATGTAGACGTTTTGGATATCCAAATTTGTTCATCACTATTACATGTAATCCTCAATGGCCCGAGATTGCAAGATATATGGCTAGAATCAATTGTAAGGCCGGAGACAGACCAGACATTTAGTCTAGAGTTTTCAAAATGAAATTAGATCACTTGGAGAAGGACCTCAAGAAAGGAAAAATATTTGGTGATGTGATTGGAGGTAATTTGAATTCTTATTTCTTTTCATTGAAGGCATTATACAACAAATATTTCAATTTGCATTATTTTGAATATGCGAGAAGAGGAATGCTTTATTAAACTAATCATTGATAATTTCATCATGTCCAGGTCTCTACACCGTCGAGTTTCAAAAAAGAGGTTTGCCTCATGCACATATTCTGATTTGGTTGCACACAAAGGATAAACTTCAAACAATAGACTCCATTGATCGTGTGATATGTGCCGAATTGCCTGACAAAAACAAGTACCCTAGATTGTACGAGTCTGTAACTCGACTAATGATGCATGGTCCGTGTGGCGCAGATGATCCAAAATCACCATGTATGGATGAAGGAAAATGTAAGAAATTTTTCCCAAAGAATTATGTTGAGAAAACCACATTTGATAAAAGTGGTTACCCAGTATACAGAAGGAGAGATACAGGGATCACCACCATAAGAAAAAACATTGAGTTGGATAATCGCTTTGTAGTGCCATATAATCCAGTTCTTTTGATGAGATACCAAGCTCACATCAACATTGAATATTGCAACAAGTCAAATTCTATCAAATATCTATTTAAATATGTCAACAAAGGACCCGATAGAGTGACTGTTGCAGTAGGACAATCAGATGGTGACTCTCATAAGTCAGCTGGGTTTAATGAACCAGAGAGGTACTTAAATTGCCGATACCTATCTGCGTGCGAGGCTGCTTGGAGAACCTTGGCTTTTGACATACACCACAGGTGGCCAGCGATTATGAGATTAAATTTTCATATTCCGGGGCAGAAATTTGTGACCTTCAAAGACAAGGATCAAGTAGAGAAAGTAGTTAAAGAGAATGCTGAGCGTCTTTCAATGTTCGAGGCTTGGATGAAGGCCAATACAACGTATAGACAAGGACGTACACTGACTTATGCTGAATTTCCAGGACACTTTGTGTATGACACGCAAGAGCAACGATGGTTACCGAGACAACAAAGACCATCCTTAGGCCGGCTGCATTATGTTCCACCAGGTACTGGTGAGTTGTACTACTTGCGACTGCTCTTGACTGTGCAACGAGGATGCACCAGTTACCAAAGTTTGAGGACAGTAAACAATATTGTACATAACTCATTTGAGTCTGTGTGTGAGGCGTTGGGATTATGAATCGATGATAAAGAATTCATCGAAGGTATAAGAGAGGCCGCCATCTTAGGATCGGGAAATCAATTAAGAAAGTTGTTCGTCACGTTGTTAGTGACAAATGCCATGAGTCGTCCGTGTGTTGTTTGGCAAGAAACGTGGGAATTATTGGCTGATGGGATTTTATTTGATAGACGAAGATTGTTACGCAATCCAGGTAATGTATTTTTTTTTCTTATTTTATTATTTTTTCCATTTCCGGTTGTTGTGTGCACAAAATTGATATTATATTTTTAAATTTTTTTTACGTTTTTACACTGATTTCAACTTAATCATGTGTGTTGGATTGAATCTTATAAAATTACTGTGTTAGTTATTGTTGTTAATAATGGAGCATTCAAATATTTTACTAAAAAAAATCTATGTACATAGAACGTAGTTATTTAATGAACTATATTTGTGTGTTTTTTGTTTGGTTAAAAACATGGAATTTTATTTAATATATTCATCACTTAACTTAACGCGTCATGTGTTTTGCAGATCTTGACATTTCGCCAAATGATCTACAAAGTTTATGCTTGATTGAGATTGAAAAGTTGCTGAATTCAAATGGACGCTCTTTGAAAGAGTTTGGTGGCATGCCATTTCCAGTTGACGACCCACTGAATGTAATTCAAAATAATTTCTTGGTCGAAGAGCTGAACTATGACAAAGAAAAGTTGTCCACTGATCTCAAAGAATATTTATCCACGATGAATGACGATCAAAGAAAAATATATGATGAGATAATGGAAGCGGTGGCAGCTGCGAGAGGAGGTTTTTATTTTGTGTATGGTTATGGGGGAACTAGAAAAACATTTCTTTGGAAATCATTATTTGCTGCGCTTAGATCGAATGGTAAGATTGTATTAAAAAACACTACAAGAAATTTGATATTTTGTGACTAACTTTTAGTAGCAAAAGAAATATTTGCCACAATATATAAAGAGTCTATTACTTTTTGTAGCAAATTAAAATTTGCCACAAAATAGTATACTTATTGTAGCAAATTTTTAAAATTGCCACTATACCTAAAATATTAAGGAGGGAAATTATTAATAAACTAATTTTATACTTTTTTTTAATGATCCCTCCACACGGTTTAGATCCCGCCTAACCCAAATTAGCGGAAAACCTCTACCCATTATTGCCGCTCCACCTCTCTCATCCCTTTGCTGTCCGTCGCCCGTCGCCCCCTTCCTCTACCGGCCGGCACTTCATTACCGGCGACCTCTCTACCTGCTTTGGATCTTTCGCCTGGTATTCTCTCAAATTATCTCTTCGTTCGATTTTTTTTCTAAAAGGTCGGCGGTAATGGAATCAATTATCTCAGGCTTCGTTCGATTTCTTTTCAATTGCATCTCAATTTATCTCAGGAATCAATTATCTAAATTTTTCTCAAATTATCTGGACTCGCTAGTTTCTTCGAATCTGGAACGACGACACACCCAAAGTCAGGAGCTAGGTATTTATTCTTAAAAATATTCAAATTTTTGTTTGTGTTTTAGTATAAATTCTCGTTGTTTAAGAAATATGAATTCATAGATGTTCACTCTTCATAGTTGAATCTTGATTTTAAATTTCAATTATTCAAGAATTTTTTTTTCTATAAGAGTGTTCTAGATGGATTTTGAGTTTTTAATCAGTATCTATCCTTGTTCTTCCTCTAATTGTTTTTTCATAGTCATAATCTCAGTGAATTTTGGTTTAAAATTTCCATAGTTTAAGAAATTTTATTTTGTTCAATAAGAGTGAATATCCTAGAGGTGTTTTTATTTTTGAATCAAAATTCCTCCCTCTTGTTCTTCTTCTACTTGTTTTTTCATAGCCATAATCTCAGTCCATGGTTAATCATGAATGATTCTGGATTTATTGGAATCAATGTCTGGTCTTAATGTTTTGCTATGCCCCCGTTGTCATAGACCATATTGTTATGTTATGCCAGATACACTAATGAAATGTTATGCTCCTATTGTCCTAATGTTATGTCACTTGTTATGTTACCCTTGAAGTTGTATGTGAACACTTAGAGTTGTTTTCCGTGTGGTTACCCTTGAAGTTGTATACTGGCTGCCTAGCTATTTCAGGGGTGGAGGAATCAGCAGCAACTTTAGTTTTTAAACAAACATCACTAGTTTTTGTTTTGCACCATACTTGAATACATAGTACTTTTTATATGCTCTGCCTTTTTCGCACTCAATAAGTTAGGGTTAGATAGAAAGGAAAAGATTGTATCATTAGGCTTCATTAGGTTTTGGTTCTCGTTCTGGCCGTACTGCATTTACATATAGGACATTTAAGTAGAGTATGAAGGCAAAAGAATTGGTGGTTGAGTTTGTAGTGCAAACTTGAAACTTTGAACAAATATGGTCCCTTATCTGTAATGGCTAGCAAGTTCCAACTTTATTACATGGGCACGTACCCCATGAAAGTTTAAATAATCCTAGAATTGGTAGGGACAATTGAAACTTCTCTACACCCTTTAGGGGGTCCAAACACAGATACAGTAGGTATAATGCCATTGGTAGGGACAATTGTAACTTCTCTACACTCTTTAGGGGTCCAAACACTATTTAATTTGAAGAATTGTTTCAATATGTGCTCTGGTTGCTTTATACACCATTTAACTGAGCAGTGTAATCTTGAGGGATTGAAGTAAAAAAATATATGTCCTCACCTCATAGTATTGTTCCTACAGTAGTGGCTCCAAAATGAGCTTATTTTCACTTCTATCATCTGTTAGTGCTGCTTGCAGTGTTTACACGTACTAGTTAGTGGCCATAAGGTATAAGTTAAAAATCTATAAGGGTGTTATACCTGACCTCAACACTTAGTCAGATTTATAAGGGTTGGGATGGATATTAGGTGGAGATGATGGAGTGGTTAAATATGGGAAGGGATTTGCGTTATGTAGGAGGGTAATATGGAAACTTAAAGTTGGAAATACTTAAATGATAAAGGGGAAAAGGTAAAATTTGAAGAGGAGGGATGATAGGAATTGGCTAGGGATGATAGGAATTGGCTAAGTGTTCTACGAGATATGACATACTCTTATAATAACTTAGGGCTTGTTATCTTCACCTACGCAATAATAATCAGTATTAGTGTATAAGTTTAGACTCCAAATACGCACTCAAAAGTAGCCAACTTAAGATATATCAATTAGGAAATATTTGGAATAAGTTGAACACTCCAAGAGTATTACAAAGGATTTAAAACATTGAACCTGCTTCTACAACGAGGGGGGAAGCGTGATATATATAGCCTCATTTTACATAATATGTTTCATGTAGCCTTTTGTAGTTTTGTCTTGTCTCCATCCTTTATGTTTACTTCCCTGATTCCAGCCACTACCTCGAACCAAACATGTTCAGCATTCGGCCTTGTCCTCCACTCACCTAACGTACTCCACTGAGTGTCATTACCAGTGATATTTCTCTCCAATTCCATCAGGAAACAAACAGAAATGGACGGTTTGATTCTGATTTTCAGGCCAAACGCTGTTTTTCTGTTGCATTTACCACCCAAAAAGCTCTTCTGAGCATTTTCCAGTAATGTTCATCCCGGCTAAGAGAATCAAACACAGAACTCTGTTTTCTATGCACATTTTCTGTATAACACTTATGTGGAAGCAACTCAATCGTGCCTCCAGATGGTTTTTATAGTTGAATTCGGGTTATGAGTCCTGTAGACAGTTACTAATGCAGGCCCTCTAACATGGATAGCGAGTGACAATAAACACGTAACTTGCTCCTCTAATCAGTGAAAGCATTTCCATAAAGAATTTGGGTGTGAACGTGGTTTATTGGTGTGTAAACTTGACATGCCCCTAATTTTTTTGCTCAATAAGCTGTTGAGATCAGCAGCCTTTCGGAGATCTCAAGAGTCTCTCCCCTCGGCGTCTCCGAACTTTCTCTGACCCCTCAAAACCTTATTTTTTTCCCTGAGATTTTGTAAAGTGAGACAGATAGAGAGCGTGGTGAATAGAGGGAGACACGTAAATGGCGATTTCTAATTGTGCTTCATTTTCAGCAACTCAGATTTATCTCCTGCTGCTTTGGGACATCATAAGAGCATAGCCTCAGTTTTTCTCGGAATTAGGAAAAAATCTCGGGCATGACATTGTCAAATCATTATCTTTTGAAGATTGGGAACGTGCTCATGTTCTAAGAAATTGCGAGGAAGTTCGTCCTTTCATTGAGTAAGAAAGCTTAAATCCAACTGCATATTATAGTTATAATCTGTACAGACTATATTGGGTTATGTTTGTAACAAAATATAATTTTATGATTTACTTTTAGGGAGTACGAAAGTACTAATCAACATCCATCTCTCTCATCTAGCTAGTTTCCCAGAGTGGTTCGAAAATCGAGTAAGCCTACATTTTAAATTCTCATACTATACACAAGTAATCAAAACAGTGTTTCTGTAATTATTAATATAACGTTTTATTGTTATTGCTTTCCTAGATTACTTAGTTATGGAATCAACATGATAAAAAAGCGAGTTATGATCTACTAGTTTTGGCACAACGTCCTTTGAAAAGGGTTTGTTTTTAAACTTATTAGAAACAGTTATCTATTGCTAGTTGTCTGTTTCATATGGTTTTTTTCCCATCGTTGTTTCTAATGGGAATAGAAGACTCTTTTGTAACAGTAGTATATGAATTAAAGGTAGAACAGTTTTTATAGTTGTGAGAAACGGTAATCTTTTATTAGTAGTCCGTTTCACCTAAAAATACAGTATTTGTTGCCACAGTTGTCAATAATTAGTTAAGACTACTATTTCTAAGTAGTAGTCTGGTTTTTTAGTTTATAACTGTTTTTAAACTTATAAGAAATAGTATTTTATTGTTAGTTGTATGTTTCATATGGTTTTGTTTTGCATAGTTGTTTATTACGGAGTACAAGAATAGATGACTTCCTTGTAACAGTAATATATTTATATAGTGTAGAACTATTTTTAAAATTCCTAGAAACCGTAATCTATTACAAGTTGTTAATAATAAATTAAGAATGCCTTTTATAAACAGTAGTTAGACTATTAATCCTAAAACTATTTTCAAAGTTTTGAGAAACCGTAATATATTACTAGTAGTGTGTGTCACACCGTTTTTTTCACGGTTATCTAAAATAAGTAAAAAAAACTGTTTTTAAGAAAATTGTACGTATTAAGCTTAGAACTATTTTAAAAGTTAAGAATATTCGTTTTAAACAGTTGTCTAGTTCTTAAGCCTAGAATTATTTTAAAGGTTCCGAGTAACGATAATCTTTTTTACAATGAAAATGGATACGCTCTCTAACTTTACTTTCATACTTTCGGACAATATATGTACAACAATCAAATAAACATTGTTTCAAACAATTATATGGACATGAAAAAATAAACACTTTCATTGAAACAAAAGAAAAAGTGGCTAGATACTGTCCCACTACACACAAAGGGAATTGAGAACCTATACAAACAATCAATCTCACATCATAAAACCAAAAAATAATAAGAAGATGGCGAGATGCAAATAAGAGTACACAAAATTTATTAAAAACAAAATTAAGAGTACATTGGCTTGCTTCAATCCAAAGTAGAAAACAAACAAAACACAAAGAATGAAAATCCATATTCTCAAATTACTTAAATTAAAGAATAAAGACCAAATCTTCAAGGTAGGAGTGCCAATTACACAAAGATTGGTTTTTAGCCATGGTTTTACTCTCCCCAATGACTTAAGCTTGACCCTTTAGTTTTGTGGAAGAGGGAACAACATCATCACCCCATTCCAGTGTATTTCCCAAGAAATTCACAAGACCAACTCAAAGAAATCCACAGCCCTTGGTATCCAATAAATCAGCCCAGGTAGAAGGTTCCATGGTCAGCACCAGTAGATCCCAAGCAGCAGCAAAATCCAGTAGCAAAATCCAGTAGTAGGTGCAATTTCAACCTGTACGCCAACTGTGAGCATCAGCAGGTCCTCGAGGCAGTATCTCAGTGGTAGGAGCAGGAGCACAACAGCGCCATCATGCAGCAGGTCCTCAGGTTATTGCACAACAGCTCCAAGTTCCGCACAGCAGCAGCTTCAAAGCAATTCCAAAGCAGCAAAACAAACGCGAAGCAGAAAGAGACCACCATCTCCTTTAAGTTGGAACACCAAAATCAGGGACCAAGGTATGAAAGGAACGGGTAGTGGTAGACCAAACCACAACAAACAGAAGTCACCCAGTGCAAGGGATAAGTTGGTCTGCCAGCAACATATGCGTGCCATCCCATCCCTCAAGAAGACTGAGTTCAGCAAACAAACAGCACAATGGAGTATGCTATTCGAAAATGGCAGCACTCGAGATCATGATTTGCCAACAGCAGCTTTGGGTGGCTCTCCAACGAAGTAGTCTAGCCAAACCCAGTGAATGCCACAGAAAACCATTCCACGTAGCTAGTTGTGTCCTATTTCTCTTAACAATACCATTACAGCTTCATGAACAAACACTACAAGAAATATGTCCTTTAATGAGAGTAAAAGCTATAGTTAAAGAAAGAAAAACCTTCATTAAAAAGTTTTAATGAGAGGAAATTTACTCCTAGATTCATAAGTTATCAAAGAATCCTACTTAGTTTTTTGTATAAATTTATGGGGGCGGGGGATTAGAGTTTAAGTCAAAATATCCTTGTGTCAGTAGTATATATACTTACTGGAACATCAGTACCAATCAGAGACAAAGAAGCAGCATCAACCTATTCAGTAACACCGTCATCCAAAGTTATCACAGATTTGCTAGTGGTCAAAACAGCCTTCTCGGTTTCAGGAGACACCAAACAATCCTTAGTATTATCAGGAGGGACATTCACAGAAGTTATATCCTTGGTTGGAGTATAGGTTCAGAACCTTCCTTGGACCGTACTGCAAAAGTTGCCTTGTTGGAAGGTGACCAATTTTATTGAAAGTGTGCCCCCTCCTATATATGAAGGATTGAACAAAATACTCATTAGATGTATCATTTGACTAATTCTAATGAGAAGAATTTAAAAAACTTCCCCTCGCTGCTTCTTAGCCACAAATCATCATCAAAACTAAAACGAAAGCTTTCTCCCAAAAAGAGAAGAGAAACCACCAAAATAAATTGAAGTCCCTTCACGCAAATTACAAGTGAGCACTGAAGCTTTAGTTCCCAAATTGAATTCAGTAATGAAACACTTTTCGAACACAATCAAAAAGGCAGTAGAGTAGCATATGTGACAAACTTCGTCACACTCTGCAAAAGAATAGGCAAAATCATATCTAAAAATTAGAAAAAAGTTGAGAATCAACTCTGATTTCTTGATTCTGATTTATGAAGCTCATGTTCTTTTTTCACTTTGGTTTGCATACAAATTCTCAAATTCAAATAGCCACAAATAAGCACAAAAAATATATATAGTTAGAATTGTCTACTTTTGAATCAACAAATAAAGGTAATGCGTATAGTATAAAGAAGAAAAACACTTAAACATACTATGCAAAGTAACAATATTGTGAAGTAGAGAACCAATTCATTGTCCAAATTTTATTTGCTAGCTAGACATTGAAACAACTTTTTAAGAACATAAACAATTTTCAATTCTGAAATCCTTTCGAAATAAAGTATAAAGCTTAAAGAATTAACTAAATATTTAGAATCAGAAACTCAAAACTAACCCTCATACTGCCACATGAAGACTCAAATCTAACTCTCATACTGCCTTCTGAAAAAAATCACCAGCCCAAGCAATAAAGGCTAGACCAGTAGCAAAACCGCACAGGTACACTAGAACGTGAACAGTAACTCGAGCAACCAAATCAAAGAGACCAAAATCAAGTTGTTTGAATTAGGATTCCAACACCAGACGTTGAATGGCCCTTGAATCACAAACACAATACCAGAAAATGGGATGGAAAACGAGCAAAAAGCATGGGTAAACCTGGACTTGAATAACTCGCTGTGAACAGTGACTCCGTGTCCAAAATTTTTGCTCAATTCGCAGCTTCCTTCAACCGGTTTGGAAAACCAATTTCAGGTGTTGAAAGAGCATTCCATGTCGCCCATAATCCCCCAAAAATTGGCCTTCAACCGAGCTTGGACCGAGGTGAATTGAACCTTCAAGAGTCGCAGATGAACAGTAACTCGAGAAGGTTGACCAGCGATTCTTGATCAATCCAACGCCCAATGGATTGCCATGCCCAAAACGATTCTAGAGCTCTAAGAATTGGTCCAAAAGTTCAACAAATTCAAGGTGAAAGCAAGGGTTTAAGATCGCCAGTGAACAGTAACTCGTGGAGACTGCCCAGCGATCCAAAACCTGTGATAGATGTTCTCTATCATACAAGAGTTGTGATTTTGAAGAAGATGACGGAAATTGAGGCCATAGACCTAATTGGGAAATTGAGGGCACATATTAGGCGGGCAATGAAAAATCTGGAGGGATTCTAAAATTTGAGATGAGCTTTTGAAATTTGAGATCTAATTTTTCATGATCTAATGAAATTTGAGATGATCTAATGAAAAATCTGGAGGGATTCTAAAATTTGAGATCTACTCCCTCCGTCCCGGAGTATTCGTCCAGTTTTGACTTTTGGAATTGTTCATCTAAGCACTTTGATTCATCAAATTTTCTTAATGTATAAGCCTAAATATAGTCATGTGTGATCTTGTTTGATTTGTCTTAATATATAGATTATTAATATATAATTTCTATAATTTTTTAATATACAAATTACAAGATAAAATGGATTAAAGAAGTATATTGGATGGTGTGTAAAAATGAATGTGGACAAATACTCTAGGACGGAGGTAGTAATTTTTAGAATGAGCAATCTGATTTTTGAAACAAAAAAATTTTTTGGTCCATAAATTTTCTCACTCTTATGTAAGACTTTCAATTAAGGGTACACAAAAATACCGGTTCGATATTGTTTCAAACTGAAACGATAATGTACCGAACCAAAAAGTAAGTTTTCAAATGGTTCTAACAAATTATATCCCGAATCAAACCGAACTATTTTCATGAAAGTACATGATGGGTTTCCAAAAATAAATAGTCAAAATACCTAACTGATATGGTCTTATTGGACATGAATTTGATTTGATCTGATTAGTTCCGATCTGATGCATTTAAAGACTATATCAGGCAATTAGGACACAACCTATACAAGTAAACAGGTTACCTATGAAAGTTTGACATGATCTTATTAGATTCAAAATTCATTTGATCAGATCAGGCAAACAGGACACGACCTATATAATTAAATTGTTTTTTTTTTTGAAGATTTGATCTGATCTTAATAGATTTGAATTTGATTTGATGTGATCATATCTATTTTGGTCTGATTCAATCTAATTAGATCCGATATGATGCATTTAAGGATTAGATCAGGAAAATATATATGACACGACCTATACAATTAAATTGTTTTTTTAATATTTGATCTGATCTTACTTGATTTGAATTTGATTTGATTTGATCTGTTTTGGTCTAATTCGATCTAATTTGATCTGATTTGATGTATTTATAGATTACATCAGGCAAAAAGGACACGACCTATAGAATTAAGTTGTTTTTTTAAGATTTGATCTGATCTTAATATATTTGAATTTGATCTGATCTGATTAGATCTATTTTGGTCTAATTCAATCTAATTAGATCCGATATGATTTTTTTAAATATTTGATATGATCTTACTAGATTTGAATTTGATTTGATTCGATATTTTTGAAGATTTGATCTGATCTTATTGGATTTGACTTTGATTTATTCCGATTGAATCTGTTTTTGTCTGGTTTGATCTAATTAGTCCGATTAGTTGTATTTAAAACTCTTTTAATTTGATCTAATCTAACTTGATATGATGAGATCTGATTTCATTAGATATCATCTAAACAACATATAAACATGTTAAATTGAGATGTAGTAGCTTACATGAAATATGCAAGCAATAAGATCTGATTGAATTTGATTTGATCTTAAAGTATCTTAATGATTATATCTAATCTGCTAGATCTAATTCTAGTTATATTTAAAAATTCTTTCTAATTAGATCTAATATTGACTGATTTAATTTTTCTAAAAATTAATTAATGTTAAATGTTTTGAGTAATTTAACACTATTGTTGATCTTGTTTCAAGGGAAGAAGAGAATATCTTCAGTACGCGATTCAATTCATGAATTCATAGAGTGAGGAATCTTTACTAGTTCTTATACCAATATCGCATATGGGTTCGGAATCTTCACTTGAATGATTCAGCTTGTTCTTGTGACATCATTTCTTCTCTGGTTGTCGCACATAGATTTCCTTGCTAGAATTCTAACAATTTCATCGATAATAATCTTCAGGGATAGCGTAATCATATTGATCATTTTGTAGTCCACAAAGAGAGGTTTAACATAATGTTTAAGTCAGGGTATTTTTATTGTGATCGAGTCACGTATTCCACATGGTATAGTTTTCAAAGATCGATATCATGGTATCACCAAGTATTGTTTTGGTTTCAATGAAGAATCATGGTTTTAGTATTTTTATACAAAGAATGGAATTCAATCTTTTCAAGATTGATCAAGCGAGATATTTTCAAGGGTGTAGTTAACACAATAAGTTTGAGTATTTCAAGGATATGAATCACAAGATACAAAGATAGCGTTTGCGAATTACCGTTACTAATCGTAGGTTTTCTTCCTCTAGTGTTTCACTCTTTGGAAGTTACTCAAGAGGTCATTTATCTTAGGGTTATAGTCATTTTGACTTTTCGTCTCGGATTTGAATGTATTTCAGAACAACGAGCCTAACTATTCATGAGTCTCAATATGTCATGTCGTCAGCAGACTGTAGTATTGGCGAATACATTCTTGTCTAGAGCGAATCCACTTTCGTGTACGTTTTTAGGCTGGTGATAATTACTTTTTCCATCAATGGTCCGGTTTCAGAGTCTATATATATCAAATTGTGGCAAGAGCATCTCACATTTTCACATTATGGAAGGAACTTCTCGAGCTCTTTCTTATACCATAAGATTCGTTGGTCTACTTGGTAGTCATGCTCTTGGTAGCAATTCAAGGTTCATGGCTACAGCGGTTGATCTAGGACGAGAATTGGTAAGGCGAAAAATCAGGCTTACCTATGGAGGAGGCAATGTGGGTATTCAAGGAGCTGTAGCTTCAACAGTCTATAATAATGGTGGTAGAGTTAGAGGTTTCATACCAGGGTATATAGCAACACGACAGGTTTACGGACCTACGTACGGTGTAGAGTACACCGTTTCCAGCCATTACTATAAGTATTTCGAGATGAATCATATTCTGGAAGCCTTCATCGTACTTCCAGGAGGGATTGACACTATGGAAGGTTTATTCACTTTGATTTCATGGGCATCCGAAGGGTTACATAGTAAACCCATTGGTCTTTTGAACATTGACGGTTATTTCAATAACCTAATTAAGTTTCTAGATGATGCGGTGAGGCAGAACTTCATGGCTTTGAATCAAAGGAAATTGTTCATCTCTTCTTTCTTTGTTGATGAGCTTTTAGACAAACTAGAGTGTGCTAAAGCTTTTCCGGGTCCTGGTGCTAATTATGACGAGTTCGCGAATCCTGAGAGGTTAGACTTAGAATTGCATCTGTAACTTTCCTCATGTAATCCAAGTTGTATTTTGTGTTGAAATAATATTATCCATAAATATTATTTAACGTTGTATGGTCAGCGCGAACTACATTTTCTTCATTCTTCAGTCTTTCATTGTTGGTGTCATTGTTTCACGTCATATTTTGTATCATCATCTCGGTCGCGATCTTTCACGTCAATAAGATATCTGAACAAGTCAACTATCTTATTGATTTGTCTTGTCAGCATCACTTTATTACTTCATTTATTCAATCAGATTACATTGACGTTTCCGATGATAAGTAATTAGGTCATTAATCACTTCATAACAAGGCATCAGTTCATTCAACAAGGTTGAGTTGTCTATAGCTTTTAACAAGCAGGTTCTTTGAATTTGATCGAATAAGTCATCAGTTTATAGTAAAGGATAGCAATTCTCGATCGTCAGTCTGTTCAAGTTTCTTAACAGAGATTTGTTAGTATCCTGACCGTAAGTCAATCTTAGAGAATACAATGGATTCTCTAAGCAGATCAAATAAGTCATGATACGAGGTAAAGGATAACGAATTTTTCAACTGACAGTAGTTGATATAGAGTCTTATTGATTCGCGTATGAACAAAACAGGTATTCTCCCAAGGAGGAAACACTTGATCAGATGATTCTTTGTCAAGAAGTCATTGATGGAAACACATTCAATATATAGTTTCGAATATTGGTCCTTCAGTTCAGATCTTTCTTTCACGTATCACACGAAAAGACTTTATGCTCCTTTTGGTTGAGAGGTTTGCGCACATAAATTCGAGACAAACTCGGTCGGTTTAGAAATCAGCTTTGCTTTCACCTATATAAGGTTTCGATCATCGATCCTCAGTTGAAGAATTCTTCGTCAAGAGTTGCCAACACTAACGTCGTTTGATCAACCAATATATACTAAGGATAATTGTCAAATTCCTTGTATGGTATTTCAATGAAGTTTTGCAAGGAGTTGTCGCTTAACGAACGATTTCGATTTCTAAGATATAATCGCATATTTGCATATTAATGAGTTAGACATCAGAATGGGATGCTTTAGATAACAGAGTTTATTGATTCTAAACGTTCGTGTTTGAATCAGCGATTAGATCGTCTTGAGTCCACATGAGTGTCTTTGATATCGGCTTCACAAATGCTTCCCAACAATTATCGTTTCTTCATAGTCGTCTCACTTTCGTACGATTTTGCGATGCAGATCAGTTTCGTCTGTCGCGATGCGATGCGTACGTTAATAACGGATTAGAGGGTCATATATTTTTCATTCATTCTTGTGTCTCTTCACTGAGTTCGAAAGTTCTACTAGAGTCTAAGCTCGTTACGATTTCAGTACTAATCAATTATTATTCAATGAGAATTCTAACAGAGTAAATATTTAACAAGTAATTTCTCATACCTTTCCTAGAGCAGAGGGACGCGAGAGTCGTGGATGTGATTGACACAATTTTTTTTTAAATTCAAATTTTGATCCGAAGATCGGTTTTAAAACTATTTGCTCTGATACCAAATTGTAACACCCTAATCCGTCCAGGTCTGCAGCCCCTTTCGGACTAAAGTATTAACTTGGTAATCGTAAAAATTAAAATTTTTCAAACACTTTTATTTATCATAATAAAATTTTCATATCATAAACAGTATAGAAGTTTTCAATATTGCGGAAGCTTAACAAATCATAACCACAAAAATAATTTATTTATATTCTTTAATTCAAAACCATCACATCCATTCCGACTATCTCGCCTCCGTCTGTCTCCAGGATCACGTCACATCATTCTATTGACCTGCATGTAGCAAATAAAACACACTACACGCTCAGCGGTAAAGCTGAGTAAGCATATCTAATGCGTCGAACATCCACATAAATTGAATCTCAATTCATAATCAACCATTTGATATTATGCACATAATGTTCAGTTCAGATATTCAATATTCAATATTCAATTTTCAACATTCATTATTCAATCATCCAACATGTATATTCATCATTTGTCATTCAACAGTATCCTTAAACTAATTTTAGTCTAAGGCCAATCAATTTAATATTTTGTCAACCCTTAAATGAATTCTAGTTTAACTAATTAAACTATATTCCAGTATACAGAGTACTCCTAATAATCCTTAAGCTAGGCCTAGTTTAAGATAAAAGGGTTTTGGAAATCTTCAACTTACCTTCACTTAAGGCCAACCAAAAACCGACAGCGTAGTGTTCACTGTTGGGTGGGTGGTACCCCCAAACGAGTAGGTACTCAAGTTTGGTTCTTGGATCCCGTACGTACGTTTTAACCCTAGCCACCGGGCATCATACCCGCAAGGCCTAACTTATATGGGTATATCTTAGAGTTCTTCTAGATACCTTTCAAATCAGCATCAATATGGGTATATCTTAGTGGTCTTCTAGATACCCTTAACAATACATATTATTTTCACAAGCACCAATATATTCATTATGATTTAATCATTCATAATTTCCATTTTTAATCAGAAAAATTATCAAGATTTAATCATCATAATCAACAACCAATAATTATTACCATAATCATCAATCAACATAATATTCAACAACAATTAGCGGCCTAGCTTCGAGTGTTAACACTCGAACTTACCGTCATACATCACATAACACTTTTATTTGTTAAAAACATCATTTTTATGTGGTAAATCATTTTTATAATGATCATAACCAATTGGTATCAAAAATAGGATTTTAGAACTCAAAAATAGCATTTTTAGACAAATTTTCGGATCAGAACTTCGGGGGATCGATCCAGCCCTCTAGATCGATCCATGATATTAAAAATTACACCCAGGTGATCGATCCACCCATTTGGATCGATCCAGACAGCTTGGTTTTTGGTTACTGTTCATCTTCTTCTTCGTTCGGGTCCAATTTCGAAAATACCGTTTTTAGTTATCGAATTTCAACGAAACTATATAGAGATGTTCTCCAAGGTTCATAGATCATTTTGGCATCATAAATTAATAGTTTTAACATCAATTTAATGGTTTATGATTCTTGGTTCTTTAAGCATGTCAAACACAAAACTCAACCAAACGACCATTTATGAACGTAGAAACGATCTATACGAACATTCTAGTTACTAGATATATCAACGGGCTTACCTCGAAGCGTAATGGAGGTTTTGAAGATTTTCCGGCGAAACTTCCGGAGAGGTTTGTAGCTAGCTCTGGCATCCTCACACCAAATTGGCAGCACCACAATATTCCTTACACTCTCAAGAACGCAATGGAAGAAGAAGTAGAGAAAATGGTGTAGAAATGAGAAGGGTTGCTTCTCCTTATATAGGAAAGAAGAGAAGGAGATTACAAAGGTTGCTGAGTCAATTGTGATTCACGATCGGCGTAGTGGAGAAGGAGGCGCCGTCTGTACAGTTCTCTGATTGGGACTAATTCGGTCTCAGTCGGGGTACACTTTTTAGTCGAACTTTCTCCGAATTGAATTTCGTTTGCACCGTTGTGATCGGACAGTTAAACTCTATCCAACGATATAATTTTTATATTTATTCCTTATACTTTTTCCGACATCATATTTTTGGATGGTTGACTTTGACAGAGTCAAAATTGATTTGTTTGACCTTTACTCAAAAAGGTGCTCATATTCAATTCATATTATTTATTTCCATGATTTATTTCAATAAATCATTTCAAAGTTCACATTATAAAACAATTTATTCATTTATTCTTAATTTGGGTCTCTACACATGTTTCCAATCAAGATCACACAAATAGTCAACTAATTGGATTTATATCTATGAGATTTATCCTGATTGTGATATTGGATATCAAAACACATTTTATTTTGGCCCAAAGCCCAACAACAATTTATTTTAATCAAAACAATTTGATTAATTAATTAATTATTCATTAATAATTCTAGGGTATGTTTTGGGGCGTTACACACATAGAATATCTATATTTGTGTGTATATAATCTGAGATAAAAGGATGGACTCCACTTAGTCAGATTTAATGTTAATAAAATGCTAATTTGTTCTTTTTTGCATGCACTTGTTTCTTCTTTTCTTGATAAATTATTATTTTAAATTTCTTGAATAATTTCAACATAAAGGTAGCACATGGTGTCATGTTGAGAACATGCAAAGAGACTAAAGAGGGTAAAATCCTTGAAATTCATGTTTTAAAAAAGGATAGCTTAGTGCGTAAAACATCCTGCCAGGTGAGGGTAGAGAAAACAATCTATGTTTTTTATTAGGTTTTCAGAACTTTACTATCTAGCATAGTGAAAATGCTTTTGTTTGTTTGGCTAATTGAGCGAATCATTGCAGGGTATAAACTTAAAGAAAATGGAGACTTGTGGTGAACAAGATTGTTAGAGGATGTCACCTTTTCTGGTCACTTCAGAAGCTTCTTTAGTACGGTGTGGGATTCATTTATGTATCTATTTGGTCAGTCATATGTGTCCTCTGCCGGTGCTATGTCACTGTTAGTTGCAATAGTATGTTTTGTGCCATCAAAGGTATCTCGTAGAAAGCGAGTGATTATCGGGATTCTTCATTTGTCTGCCCACTTGGCAGCAGCATTGATCCTCACAATCTTGTTGGAACTTGGTGTTGAGACATGTATTAGGCATATTCTACTCGGCACATCAGGTTAGTGAGATTTTGACTGCATTCTTTTGTTTATTTTCATATTTCATTGATAGTTAGAAAGAACATAGGACTAATGTACATAGGAATGTTATGCTATTTGGTGCATATGTTATCATACCCTATATGAATGGTACCGATCAGTCAAGAGCAAGCATTTCCCAGATCCTACTAGTCTTAAAGAACGTTTAGAGCGATGGACATTTGGCCTTTATCCAGCCTGCATCAAGTATCTCATGTCTGCATTTGATGTGCCTGAGGCAAGAACAAATGTTAACTACTACTGCAATTAATGCTAATCAATTACTAGTTATTTTATTTTTTATGGGTTGTGTGGGATTGCTGCAATATATTATGCGTTTGTGCGTGAAAGAGGTGTTTGAAGCACAACTAAGTTTAGTTATCACATTCATGCAATTTAATTGTTTTTTAATACTAGGTTCAATGCAACCAATTACTAGGTCGATCCAGAAGAGCGAGACTTTCATGAAGTTGATAAAGGTTATTGATATGAATCAGTTACTACATTGGGGATGACATGTATGAGACAGTGATTGAATTTGCAAGGCATTTCATGAAGTCTTGTTGAGGACTTGTCATAAGGTCCAAAACAAATTAAAAATTTATAAAATATCCTTAGCTAACCCCCAATAGATAATCAAATAAAAACTATAGCTAGGGCAAGTAAGGGTCGATCCCACGGAGAAATGTTGTACTTTTTAAAAACCAATTTAGCATGCAAACACATTGTCACTAAAATAAAACCAACTAACTACTACACATATGATAAAACGTATAAAACTTATAATAAAACTTACAACTAAATAAATATAAAAACTTATAAATATAACTTAAATAAAAAAGAACTTATAATATAACTTATAAACATAAAACACATACTAAAAATATAGTATAAAGAACTTATATTTATAACTTATAAACAAGTACTTATAATATAAACTTATTAAATAAAACTTATACTTATATAACACAAGAGGGAGGGGGGTTGAATGAAAAGTAAATATTTTTGGTTTTTATGTATTTTATAGTTTTTTTGGTTTTTTGATAAAATGGGGGAAAACAAGCTCAAAAGATAAACAACTTCTCCAACCTAGGTAACCCGAAGAAACACCGCCAAGAACCCGAGACAAAATGAAAAAAGAGAACAAACACGAGTTGAACATTACACGTATAATAGGCACGTAGACAATATATTACGTATCTTACACACTTAAGAATAAAAAAAAAATCAAAGGCTAAGTCGATTCATTTCCTTAACCACGATATGGAGGATTGTCAACTCTCCACACGGCCCGGAGTCATGCAATTCAAAGGCCCGTTTTGAAATATACCTTAGAACCCCAACTCTCTATTCAAGCATAAGAACATACTTCCACTATAGAAAAAGTTTATAAAAGAGAGAATCTATTATGCATTCAACTCTCATACATAATCTATTCACAAACCGCCAATACCTTATGTATTTTAACAAACTTTTTCTCCTAATGATGAGCACATTTCACAGATTTCCATGAACTTCTCAAACCAATGACGTTTTTTCTATTCACGTAGAAGAACACAACGTATTTCCAATAAATCAAGAATTGTTTATGAGCTTAAACAACCTCAAATTAATGAAAATAACAAACGAACACACGAAA